CTAATACAGTAACACAGACGTCCATACCTGAGTTCTACACACTAATACAGTAACAGACGTCCATACCTGAGTTCTACACACTAATACAGTAACAGACGTCCATACCTGAGTTCTACACACTAATACAGTAACACAGACATCCATACCTGAGTTCTACCGCACTAATACAGTAACACAGACATCCATACCTGAGTTCTACACACTAATACAGTAACACAGACACCCATACCTGAGTTCTACACACTAATACAGTAACACAGACATCCATACCTGAGTTCTACACACTAATACAGTAACACAGACACCCATACCTGAGTTCTACACACTAATACAGTAACACAGACATCCATACCTGAGTTCTACACACTAATACAGTAACACAGACGTCCATACCTGAGTTCTACACACTAATACAGTAACACAGACGTCCATACCTGAGTTCTACACACTAATACAGTAACAGACATCCATACCTGAGTTCTACACACTAATACAGTAACACAGACGTCCATACCTGAGTTCTACACACTAATACAGTAACACAGACATCCATACCTGAGTTCTACCGCACTAATACAGTAACAGACATCCATACCTGAGTTCTACACACTAATACAGTAACAGACATCCATACCTGAGTTCTACACACTAATACAGTAACACAGACGTCCATACCTGAGTTCTACACACTAATACAGTAACAGACATCCATACCTGAGTTCTACACACTAATACAGTAACACAGACATCCATACCTGAGTTCTACCGCACTAATACAGTAACAGACATCCATACCTGAGTTCTACACACTAATACAGTAACAGACATCCATACCTGAGTTCTACCGCAGTAATACAGTAACACAGACATCCATACCTGAGTTCTACACACTAATACAGTAACACAGACATCCATACCTGAGTTCTACACACTAATACAGTAACAGACATCCATACCTGAGTTCTACACACTAATACAGTAACAGACATCCATACCTGAGTTCTACCGCACTAATACAGTAACAGACATCCATACCTGAGTTCTTCCACACTAATACAGTAACACAGACACCCATACCTGAGTTCTACACACTAATACAGTAACACAGACACCCATACCTGAGTTCTACACACTAATACAGTAACACAGACACCCATACCTGAGTTCTACACACTAATACAGTAACACAGACACCCATACCTGAGTTCTACACACTAATACAGTAACACAGACACCCATACCTGAGTTCTACACACTAATACAGTAACACAGACACCCATACCTGAGTTCTACACACTAATACAGTAACACAGACGTCCATACCTGAGTTCTACACACTAATACAGTAACACAGACACCCATACCTGAGTTCTACACACTAATACAGTAACACAGACACCCATACCTGAGTTCTACACACTAATACAGTAACACAGACGTCCATACCTGAGTTCTACACACTAATACAGTAACACAGACATCCATACCTGAGTTCTACACACTAATACAGTAACAGACATCCATACCTGAGTTCTACACACTAATACAGTAACACAGACATCCATACCTGAGTTCTACACACTAATACAGTAACACAGACATCCATACCTGAGTTCTACCGCACTAATACAGTAGCACAGACATCCATACCTGAGTTCTACACACTAATACAGTAGCACAGACATCCATACCTGAGTTCTACACACTAATACAGTAACACAGACATCCATACCTGAGTTCTACACACTAATACAGTAACACAGACATCCATACCTGAGTTCTACCGCACTAATACAGTAACACAGACATCCATACCTGAGTTCTACCGCACTTGTATAGCTTTTTCCATACTTCTGCAGAGCTTCTTGAGGTCTACAAGCAGGTTGAACAGATGAACACCAGTGGTCTTTTCTGCAGACCTACTGATGCACTGCAGTTTGTGGATGCCGTGTTTGGTGGCAGAGCTGTACCAGACAGTGATGGAGGAGCTGATGACTCTGTAATGGCTGTGTAGAACAAATTGTTGTGACCGCTTCAGAGGACCAACTCATTTTGGATGAGGCCAATGACTATAGTGACTTTGTAACAGAGGTGTCTGTGGATGTGTACAATCATTAGTGTACAGTGAAAACAGCTATGGGGAGAGCTTTAGGTGGACAGTATCTTACTATTATCATGATAAATATTGAGTGTGTAGTGGATTTCATAAGTACTTAACACTGAACTGCCTGTTTCATTAAAAGAGAACATGATTGGTCCTGTTTAATTGGGTGCAGTGAAGTGCAGTGTGTCAGATATTGAAAAAAATCATTGTACTTGTAGTTCTTGGTAGTGTTTTGTTTTTAAATGTAACTTCACTAGAGTATTTATGTCTGTTTGATTGTGTCAAACTCTGAGAAAAGCGAATGTTTGTGATGCATATTGGGTACCGTGAAAATGTTTAAATTGCTGCCATATTGCCCAGTCCAAGGGTGAGCATGCATCCTTTTAGAGCGTCAGTCAGGGTTGTTTGAGTGCCTGATCAGTTACCATACACAAACCACATGTAATAACAGACACTCGTAACGTTATATTAATAAGAACTAACTAAGAAAAACATTCTGCCTTAGAACAACAACTGTACTTTCATAATTATGAGTGCAGCACGACTAAGGTGTCATCAGGGGCCGGTAACATTGTTTGACTGATTTTCAATACTTTGACCGAAGTATGAAGACATGCCATCCGCGCCTGTAGCAGAGAGTTGAACCAGAGGGGCCACTGCAGAGGCGGAACTGACCACGATAAAAATGATATTTTTTACAGTTTGGAAAGCTGTGTTCACATTTTAAGCAAGGCTGGTATATTTTATTATTACAGAGCAGAGCATTTCAGCTGTTAATGAAAAAAGGGTGGAGTTACTCTCTAAGAAATGTAGTGACTGAAGCAGACATGGGAGCAAACAGAGTGATAGTGTGGGACTTCAGGTTTAATCTCTGAAGTGAAATAACAATAATGGTGTAGTTCTGTAAAAGGTATGGCTGTAGTGTGATCTTTAGTTTGGCCTCCAAACTGTAATTAATATCATAAGACAGAATGGAATTTCAGATGTTTTTGGACAGGCTATGATATCAGCTTCATTTTATGCAGCACTGAACACATTTAATTATCACAGCTACATTCTTATAGCAAACTAATCTATGCTGGGTATTAGAGATGAAACGATATTGAAATTTCATATCACGATTATCATGACCAAAATCATCACGATCATCGGTATTATCGCGATATTGTTCAAAAGCGTTGAAAAGTAAAATAAATAAATAAATAAATACTGATACACAAACTGAAACTTGTTTTACCAATTTTTATACTAACACAAGTAGAATTGGCAGCAATATGCACTTTTTGTTTGCATAAACATTAAAAAATATAGTCAATACATTTGTAGTATTACTTTTGTATTACTTACAATATTTATAATACTCTGTAAACAAAAGAATAGCAAATGTATTATTATTATCGTTATTATTATTATTATTATTATTATCATTATTACTGTTATTACTATTATTATTATTACTATTATTATTATTAAGTACAATAAGTATGGATTTCCCTGCATAGAGTATTAAATCTGGACCAACTCTGAGGTGGGTCTTAATGGAAAATGACTACTTCTAAGAAGTGCTGCACTCGGGGGATTTCTGTCCGAACTGCAGCTGCAGCATTATTGTGCCGTTGTGGCGCTGAACCCCTAATCAACACAGCGCACCAGGAAAAACAGCCAAAATTACAGAGGAACTGCGTGACGCGCTGTGAGCTGCAGACAGTGTAGAACTCGCACACCTGTCTTCACCTGTGGAGCTGCTTCTCTAAAAGCATTTAAAACTAAAACATAACTTAAAATGAACGCGCATCTGAGCTGCGGCAGAAACACTCCTACAGTTTAATCTCTGAAACTCTGCTTCTCCTAAAAGCAGCACAGCGTTTACTCGCGCGAGGTCCCGTCTCAAAGCACACTATCTTCCCTATCTAGTGCACTTCGTGGATCATGAAATAGCAAATCCTTCACCCAAAGAGTGCAGGAAACGTTCGACTAGGTCATCTATAATCAACATTAACAACAGGTTACAAAGTCCCTATTTAAAGCTCAGCTGCTGGTTAATGATGATCGTGTTTGAACTGTAGCGCCCTCTGTAGGGGACACTGAGTGATTGAGACGGTGTTGTTCTCCTCTCAGACAGTAAACACTGCAAGCGGGACGAGAAAGGGGAGCTGCGCAGATTGAACCTCTGCAGCGTCTCGTTAACTCAGAGCTTATTTTGGAGACTCTGCTCCACAGAAATGTGTTAAAAGCTTTAGTTTCGATTCACAGCTGATTCACCGATTTTATTTATTTATTTATTTATTTTGACGCTAAAAGCTTCATTTTATTTATTACCGAACCATAAGCATAATTTAAACCACACAGACCAGGACATTTCTTCTATTTCGAAGTCCACAGACTTCTCCGTTAAAGTTAACCTTGCATTCTCTATAAAGTAGCGGGTGGTGGTCGCGAAGATGACTCGTAGGGTTGGATGTGTTGCCCCCTTTTGCCGCTATTTTCTTTCGGCCTGTTCTGCAGACAGGGTGGTCATCTTCAATTAACTTTCCTTCTGCATCCTTATAAAACCCAAAACATGACCGAACGTCAGACTTGGTCTTCTTAGAAAGCTGAAATATCTCTGAATCTCTGTCACTACATTCCGCCATGTTCTCTCTTCTCTCCCTCTCACCCCCCCCTTCCCCTCTACACACACACACACACACACAGAGCTGCGTCTGAGAGATGATTCTGCCTTTGTTTGACTCTGTACAGTGAGTTTTTCACACCGCGGTAATCAACCACGGTTTTAACGATACTTTAAAGTTCAAACGGTACTACTAACCGTCATTAATTTTACCGCGGTTTACCGTGAAACCGGTAACCGTTTCATCTCCACTGGGTACAATAGATGTGATAAAGGAGGCTCACTGACTGAAAGGTCTGCAGGTACAGAAACACTGTGTCTGTTATTAACAGATAAAAGATAATGTTTAAGGCACTGATAGTGGGTGGCTTGTTATTTTGTCTTAAAATTTAATGTTTCTTTCATTTCATCTCATCTCTCCTTTTCCCTTTGTGTTTTGTTTCGTTTTTTTGTCTGTCTCTGTAGGTCAGCCATGAAGTTCTGCAGTTCTGCTCTCCGTGTCCTGATCTCACTGATCACTACATTCACTACTGGTAACTGCACTGACTGGTTACTGCACTGACACTCCTTTATCATCTTTAAACACTTTACTGTATTTTACCTTCACAGTGGGTTGTGAACCAGGGGTCGTATTACAGAAACGTCTGAACTCTGAAATATGATCTGTTCAGTCTCCATGGCGACTTCAGTACAGACTGAATTTAGTTCAGTATCTATTCCAGAATAACAGCTCCTAACTTCATAATCTCATCATGAACTCCAGATAAGAAAACAGCATCACACAAACATCCTAACTAGACTAAACCTCCTAAATCCTGTCCTAACTTTAGGATGAACCCCAACAGGGTCCTCACTTCTGTTTAAGGTCCGTTTCTATGGTTTTTAGGCAGCTGTGTCAGCAGCATAGTTCACTACCAGCATAATGAGCTCCATTTATTTCTACTGTAAAACCGTGCCTTTCTCTAACTCTGCGTTTGAAAAATTCTCTTTAAATTATAGAATTGATGAATTTAAATGAAGCTGAACATATTTTAATCTCTTATCATAATTTCTCTTGCAGTGTCTGAATCAGCAGATCCCTCAGTGAAAGTGAAGTTTAATGAGACGGCCTCTCTGCCCTGCTATGAGAGATGCTCTGGTTTGGTCAGATGGACTGAGTTCACTAAATCCACTGATGTTCTGGCTGAGTGTGATCAGACTTCATGTAGATCGAAGGAGGGATATCAGATGATCCATGATCAGTACCTGAAGGGAGATTTTTCCCTCATCATCACTGAAGCTGATTTCACTAAGAGAGCTCGGTACACGTGTGACTGTGATGATAGAGATCTCTGTGATGTGAAGCTGCAGATTGAGCGTAAGTGTTTGTTTTTTGTTTTTTTTTTCTGTTCAGACTTACAAGTTCTATCAGAACTCAGTGGAAATGCTCTGTATCAGGTTTGCCTTCAGTTGATAAGATTTCTTTTTGGTTTTTCTCCTCAGCCTTGAACACCGCGGTTCAGAAAAAATCCGGTGAATCTCTGGTTCTGGAATTGGACGTATCAGAACCAGTAGAAGTGATTTATAGCAGCACAGGTGCAGCCGGACCATCCAGTGGTCAGATCTGTACAGTGAATGGACGATTCACACAGTGTAAACCTGAATACACACAGAGAGCATCACTCACAGCTGGACTTGAGCTCAGAGGAATGACTCCATCTGATAGTGGAGTTTACACCATCATGGATAAAAAGAATGAAGAGGTCGTTCGTATCTACTCTGTGACAATTAAAGGTATGATTTTAGTGTGATTTCTACAGCTTGAGCACTGTTTACTAAATGCTTTTTGTCAGTACTTTACATTTGCAATCAGAAACTGCCATTCAGGAAAATTGTGTTTGCACACAAACACAAACAAACACACAAACAATAGCTCCGCTATTCATTCAGATAAGGAAAAAATAGTCTGTAAAGATAAGCACACCATTCCCGATCAGACCAAACATTCTGGAGTTGGTTTAGTGTTGATATCTTGAAACTGGGGGACAAGTTAGAGGAAAGAAAATCTGGCGGGACAAAAAAATCAGAAGAAGAATCTGCTGTTGGATAACCATAGTTTTTGTTTCGTTACGAACCAAGAAATCCTGTGATTAAAGCTGACTGTGACTAGACGGTAGAAGACTAGAGCTGAATACTACTTCTCTGGTACAGACCAGCTCCCCTCTGCAGCTCATGGCTGTAGCACACACATTGATCAATGATCAGATTTGTGCTGGATTTGGATCTGAATTTAGTGCATCGTTACATTTGAAAACAGACTGAGATTTTTCTTTTTATTTTCTTTTCTGTTTTATTTTGTTCAAACCACATAAAAACTAAACATCAGAAAGCAAATGTAAGCCTGTCAGTTACATTCTAATATGTGTAAATCATCTCAGCTTTGGCTGAACAGTTTAATCACAGGGAAGCTGCTGCTGAGGGCTTTAACAGTGTTAAGTTGTGAATGAATGATTGTGTTTATGATGTCCAGATCTTTATTAGATCCTCTGTGTAGCTCAGCCTCTCCAGTGTTTCATATTCATTACACTGTTAGGAGATCAGCCATTACAACAGCATCACACTGCAAGACTCAGTTTTTGTTTCAGTGAACTATAATTTGGTTGACTTAAAAATTTTAATTAGTCTCCATCATTATTATTATTAGTGTTTCAAAATTGGCATAATTTACAATGTTGTTCATTGTTACTTCATAAAGGAGATGCTAAACTGTACAGAGGATGATTAATCAGATCCTGCTGTGTGAGGTCTTGCATGGTGATGTTGTTGCGTTGTTTTTGTCAGGTGATGGTTCTGAAGCTCTGGATCAGATCCATAAGCCCTCTCGGTTCCGTCGCAGCGCCCCTTCTGGTACGCATTACACTTCACTGTACACAATTTTGCTGATTGCATGTACAGGCTGATTTGCAATATCAGCACCAAAAATCTCCAACACACAAAAGCCAATGTTCCTCCCGTGTACACAAATTAAATATGGGTGGTCTAGTTTTCACTTCAGCGTCTGAACTGGCTAGTTTAATGTGTACCTCAGCAACACACAGTGGCCACAGGCACAGTCTTGAAAGACCTGCGATACAATGAAGCAATAAGCCACAAGAGGCCGTGTGTTACAGTGATTTTATAACAGGAAAGGGTGTTATTAGGCACAATACAAAGCAAAGTAAAACCCTATAACCAGTGATAAAGTCACTATAATGCATGACCTCAGTTCTCTTACTGGAGAAGGAGTGGACAACAGAAACTATGATAAAATACACAGTTTTTTCGACAAATATGTTATTATTAATAATAATTGATGAACAATTATACAGCCAAGAAATGCAGTTCTTTGAAGTATATTATTGTTGCCAAGCAACCATAGACTGTTACAGATGACAAGAAACCTATCATACATTAGTGAACATATCTAACATAGATATCTAACATATCATTGTTTAATTCAGAAAACTTTGCTTTATAAGTTGCTTTATAAATCATGTCGACCATGTTAATTTCTATTAGAACCTCTATGCAATTTCCAGTTATATTTCCCACCAAGCTAACAGTGTTGCCCATCCCTCTTCCCCATACCGGGCCTGAATCTCAAATGGCAAGTTAAAATACTGGCTCCTGCACCCAACAGTGATGTATCTCACAGTTAGCTCTTTGGGATTCCACCACACGCATACAACTCCATACTGGTCTAATAGTGCACTGTTTGGGTGTTGAAGCCACAATTTCTTAACTTACACAGAGCACTATATAGGATGGAGGGAGCTGTATGAGATTCAGCGTGAGTTTAATGCTATTTAAGCCAGAGCTAAAACACACATTTGAAGCAAGTGAGATGTTTGTCATACATTTTTACTTTTTATATTGTAGTTTTACAGTCGAACAGCCTGTGATATTAATGGAGGAGTTATTTAGGTTGTTTGTCAACCCCTCCGGTCAAACAATCCCAGATAAGTAAATAAATGACTAAGATTATTTTAGGGACATTCAGAGTGCAGAGGACAGACAGGATTTTATTATTTTAGATTTATTCAGGAGCTCCCATTCACAAAATAACAGTGTTATTTAGAATGAGGTTCAGCCTGTGGTTTCTTTCATGTCCGTTTCATTATTTATTTTGGGTCCATCACACTAAATCCAGTGAGTCGCAGAAAGACTACAATTTATTTATCTTAGCCACATACCGGACGTGTTCCATGTGACTTTTGGTCACAGGTTTATTTGATAATGTGGTGTTCCACCCTGTTTAACCCACATCCTCACTTCTCCTGGGTCTTTGTTTTATCTCAGTCTCCAAACTGATATTGGGTATCCATTATATCTGTTCCTCACACGCAAAGCTGCGGCGTGAGGGCTCACCAGCAGTGCCTGTATGTGCCTAGTTACAGTTGCTAAGCTACAGTTAATCAATCTGTGTTGAGGGGTGGATTTTAGTGAAGGGAGGCGCAGGGTTAAGGGTGGCCTGATCAACAGCTGCCACATTCCTCCGTCAGTCATTGCGATTACAGAATGCACTCACAAAAAGCTTGGTAAAGAAGAGATACTCTTTAGTTCAGTTACTCATAGGTGACATGATTTGGTACAGTTTGCCACCCTTCCTCAAATGCCACAGCCCAGTTCGCCTATATGGACATGGTGACTCAGGGGATGGGGTTACAGTAGAGTCTACAATCTTGTGATCTTAACTGATCCTCTTAGAGTCAGACTGTATGCGTAAAACTAATTTACATTTTCTCTGTGCCTTTTGTTCTGCAGATGACCAACCCTTTCTGTGCGGAGATCATGCAGCGGTGTGGATGTATCCAGTGCTGGTGCTGATGGCGGCTGTGTGTGCGGTATCAGCAGTAGTAATTGTGCGGCAAAGGAAAGAAATTCTGGAGCTGAAAGGAACCGTGAGATATAGTAGTTGAAATTAATGAACGTGAAAGTTCAGAAGATCAGAAACCCTGAGAGATCACCCTGTCTTCCTCTCTTTCTTTCTCTTGCGCTCTCTCTCTCCCTCTCTCTCGCACTTTACCCTTCAGACTCATGTGAGTGTGAGCATATAAGAGAGAGTGGATGATGGAACGTTGTGGAGAGTTCAGTGTTCCCTGAGAGACAGTGTTCCCTCATTGGACATTAACGCTTTTACTGAAACTGATGCTGTTTCATAGAACAGAAATTCTGTGGATTACTATGAGCTGCTAGAGGTTAGTTCAAGTTTTCTGCCCTTACCTGTTTGTTTCACTCCACAGTTCATTTTTTCATCATTATGAAAAATTAGCAAAAGCAGCCACCTCAGCACGACTAGCAGCTTTAACTCGTCGTGCCTTGCTGTGTTCTGAGTTCATTCACTTTACTTTCTTCTTATTCTGATTGACCTACCGGCTTACTGAGAACTTTACCCCTACCCCTTGTTTTCTAGTGTCACCCTAAACCCGTGGAACTGAGTTACAGTAAAGGGTAGTGGTTGATCTCTTCCCCTATGAAATGAGACCCTCAAAAAAAAAAAAAAACAACATTGCATCATTAACAGCTACTAGCGCTGCTCTGTAGGTGACTCTGCTAGTCTGCAGTGACAAGAATCAGAGCACCCTACTCCTAGACGTGAGCGCGCAAAATGGAATGCTAAGGCCTAAGGGGTAGGGGCAAGAAGTGAAATGGGATTGGGTCATAGCCTAGCCCATTTTATCCTGGTTGCTTTGTGGGTTTTTGTATATATATGTACATTTTTTTTTTTCTTTCTACATCAGTAAAATCTTGGGTTTGGCCTCTTTATGTTGTCAGTCAGGGAAAGAAGCTCAAGATTTCCATAGATCCCTAACCCTTTAATGTCCTCACTAACAAAAAAGCAATGTAAATGGTTTTCAGTGTATTTTTTTATTTGCTTGGGGCACATTAAAGGGTTAAGAAGTTAAAAGTCTTAAACTAATACATTTTCAGACATTTTATGAACTTAGTTTTTTAAATCTATTTTATGTTGCAACGATTATTAAATTTGGAACTTTCCAAGTATATTTTTGAAGGAATAGTTAAGTGAAAAATCTGATTTACACAATTTTCCACTTACCTTGAACTATGAACTGTAAAAACTAAAAAAAACTTTAAAAAAAAAGAAAAAAGAAAACAAAAAAGGAGTAACTAGTAGAAGGGGCAGCTATTTAGGACAACTGGATTTACTTCTTTCCTGCACAGTTTGGTTCTGTGCAAGATGGCCAAAGGTGGCCAACAGGGCTTCACAACACAAACTGTGTTCAGAGAAAGTAAGTGTATGCAGAAAGTCCAAATTTGAGGACCACATGTTCTTGTCCTTTTGGCTCCATATGGCGTAATAATAAGTGAGCACACCTAGGACAGAAAAAATAAATGGTTATCTCAGATTCACTTCTTAAGGTGTTATCTATAAAAATGTGCCTTGCACTGCTGTTGATTTAGACCTCTTGTGCATAGATGGTGCACGGTGACTGACCGGCACTCTTACTAGTTTGTGGTTTGTTGCCAAAAGCCACAGTTTGCATGAGTCTGCATCAGTAGGAACCTGCCGTTCATGTTCCAAACCGGAGCGGAGGTTAAACAATGTGATGGCTGTCCGGCGCCGACCGAGGCACCCAGGGTTGAACAAAGCTCCATATACTGAGGAACACATTGCATGTTGTTTGGTTCAGATCACTTCACCTGAGAGAGAGTTATTACAGAATATTCAGGGCCTCTTTTGAGTGAATCAGTGCAAAGTATGCCAATGAAGGCCTCGTACAGTTGCACAGCTGAAGAACCCCGTATAATGTAATTAACTACTCAGGATTATTGATTATTACATTCTTGGGAATCCAAATGCTTCCTGATTTATTAACTTGGTCAGATTAAAGGAACTCTTTTGTATTTTTCTGTGCAGTCTTGTAAGGGCGAGCAGGGCACCGACTGGTGCATGTTGTACATATTTAATTTTTAAAGCTTGTCTGGTTTATACAACATAAAACTACTAAAATGGTTTGTTTTCATTCATTTATCCGACATTATAGTGACTGTTACAACTCGTCGGGTAGTAGTGGGGTCAGGAGTAACATTTACAGTATTTTGACTGAGTTTGTCTGTTTGTAGCAGAGATGTGTATGCTGAATGTATTAAAAATAATAATGTCGTTCAAATGTTGTAAAAATGTAAATGTAAATAATGGAATTATTGAATCTGAATTTCAGAGTGTATATATGTATCAAGCTTGAGATTATGTTGCCATTACGAGTTTTATGAGACACAAAAATCACAGTAATGTGTGCTGGTATATTTTTGTAAATAAAGACTTTGTAAAATAAAGATTTGTAATGTTTTAAATGTAAAGTGTGCTGGTCCTTATTGTAGTACATTTCACACTGATGCTATGTTCACATGTTGGCCTCGTCATGGTGCAGAAGTGGGAACATTGCCGAAGGGGCAGCAATATTGTAGCAGAATCTCTTATTTATTTAACCTGGAGAAAATCTGGAGGACATTCTGTAGTCTTTTCTTTTTTTGTTGTATAATACTAAGTTCACCTGCTCTTCAGTTGGGCAGTTGTGGGCTAGACGTTAGGGAACCAGCCCTGCTCACTGCCCCCTAGTGTTTGTGTGTGTTCACTAGTGTGTATGTGGTGTTTCACTGCATGGATGGGTGAAATTTCCCCATTGTGGGACTAATAAGGGTCACTTAATCTTCAACAACATATTTGACATCCACACCTCCACCAAAAAAAGTTTTTTTTTGTTTCTTTTTTTTTTTTAATATACACATTGCGGTCTACTGGCAACATATAAATGCAGCATGAAATCAGATGTTCTTCAGCGTCTAAAGTCACAGGTGTCCAACTCTGTTCCTGGAGGGACACAGCACTGCAGAGTTTAGCTTTCTCATTTATCACAATTCTGCTAATTAGCTAGACTTTCAGGAGTTAAATTCAGAGTGTTAGAAGAGGGAAAGCACTAATCTCTACTGAGCTGTGTCCCATCAGGAGGGGGTCCAACACCTGAGATCTACTGCCGACGATCTCAAAGTGACCCCAGCCTCTGTATGTTGTGTTTTCCTACTCTAACACATCTGAACCTGTTGGACGAGGAAAAACACATAAATGTGCAGAAGACGTGGCCCCAAGGACTGAAATTAGAAACTACTTTATTTCACTTTATTTACTAATGAATCTTTAGCGACATTGACCTTTAATAAACAGCTTCAATAGAACAGTAAATGAGCCACGGTTAGCCCAAAAGGCTAATATACAATTTTCATCTTGACTATTATACGGTACCACTAAAAGTATCAAATAATACTATCATAAGATACGAACACACAAACCTATAAGCATAGCAAGAATACACTACTAGCAGAGTTCACAGACAGACATATGGACAATAATACAGCACATAGCTGTTGCAGCCAAAGTTAGTAAAGATGCATAACGAGGTATAAAAAAACGTCCATGAAGCAACTCAGCACTTATAACCATTAAACTGCAGGCAAGCAGTTCTAGCAAAGGGACAAAACATGGAAAGATAATTAACCATACAGCAATATGACGATATGACACAACAGAGATTTTAATGCACACAAATCTGATGGTCAATAAGCCATAATTCCAGCTGACCTGTAAAAACTACATATTACACTCATACATAGCAGTACTGAGTTATGTTCTTATTATGTTTTAATAGAAAGCGTTCAAGGGCTAAAAGCTAAAATCTTCTGAATGGAACACAGTCACACTGTGTCTGCGGTAGAGAAGTATTTGTCCTATGTTTAATAAACACGAATTACAGAAGGAGCAGTGTTATGCAAAAATTAACGGTCAAGACACAAATCTGATCACATGTACTTAACAAATTTTACATTGGTTTACACAATGTAAATGCAAAACAAAAGTGTTCCAAGCACAGAACCTTGTGGGACACCAGTGTATGTCTTAAAAGCAACTGATTGATGGTTAAAGACCTTTAAACATCAAGTTCTCCCCTTTGAACATGACTCTATTGTTTTGAGAGAAAAGTTAGTTTGCTTTGTAATAAAAACTCAAACATGTACACCATCCAATGACTTTGTAAGATCAAGAAACACATACACACCGTCATGCTATCAATTATGTTGTCTAGAAAAGCCAGATTGCATGGGATGCAGAGAATAGAGGCTATTATTCAGATAAAAAATGCTCAGCTATCTTAGGCACTACAGGCGGATCACAAATGGACCTGTAGTTATTAATATCCTGAGGATCAGCCGACTAAAAGGTGGGTGCTACAGCTGCTGTCTTCCGTCTATTCGGGAAACCCCACTGTGTCTTCAAGTACATCCTAATTCAGGTGTTTGTTGCCGTATCACACATTGTTACAGTGCACAGTGATTCCATTCTGCCTGTTTGTTTATAAGGAGGTTAATGAAGGCCGTATTGGATCAGAGGCTCATTGTGAGACTCATCTTTGTTGACTGATGTTATTACGAGTTGTAAAGTCATCTTAGGTTTACACTGTAATATGAAGTGGACACTGTAAGAAATGCTGGAATTTGCATAAAGATATAATGTTTTGAACAAAGTGAAAATGCACATCACCATCCTGTACATTCTGTGTTTGTTTATTTGTTTGTGTGTTTGTTTTGTGTGCTTCAGAAAAGAATCTCAGATGGATTTGATTTACTGATCAGAGACTTGCACAACCTTGTGGAGTCCATCTCAGCTCATCGAGCGCTGCCGTTAAAGCAAAAGATGGACGCATCACCCAATACTAAGAAATGTTAAAATTTATGCAAATATTTAAACTATTCAACTTTTCACTCAAATTGTTGTGATACTGTAATTTATAATAAAAGAGGAATTCAAAATATGAGCATTTTCACTTTGTTGGAGTAAAATCCTGTGTCTCCTAAAGGCTGTAAAGGCTGTTTAACTCTATGCTGC